AAATACATTATTATATAAAATTATCTAATTTTCATAGTTATCATATTTTGTGTCTAAAATGAAAAGTATATACCTATCTAGTAAAGTTTTAACGATCGGTTCATGATTTACCCATGCTATAATATTATTACTATTTATTAAAAATAGATATTTTGTATGGATATTAAATGGATTTTTTTTATTTCATTATACCTATGGTTTTTACACTGAGTAATATTTTAATTTATTTTTGTAGTGAGTACTCAGTCGTAAGTAGTGATTTAAATCGTATTGTTATACTTTTACAAATCTGTAAGTATTTCATATATTAATAAATATATACATCATTAATTGATTACTTTATAAAAAGTATTTAAGATTTTCTTAAATCGACTGAGAATAGGCCACACCGCCCGAACCAGACTTACCCACGGATTCCTTATGGCAAAAGAAAATCACTCTATATGCCAATCATGCGGTTATCATCTCACTGTACAACACATAATGACGGAATGCCTACTATAGGTATACCTAACCAAGTTAGCCACAACCTCAACATAACCCAAACCCTKGACACACTACTTGGACCCAACCCSGACCAGAACAAGATAGTCATCAAATTTCTTCAAACAACTAATATAATTGTAAATATGTAGTATATGTATAACAATATGAATAATTTGTAATGATTGCTAATGGCCTGTGCTGCCAAGCTGTATTCTAAAGATCAATAAAAAAAAATTATTTATTTTAAATGCATATTATTATATATGAGATATTTTTATGTTGCGGATTTATTGATATAAAATATTCAACAAAACATTTTCAGCACTCTTATTTAATAATTGTAATCAATATAATATATTCTTCAAAAATAAACCTGGTTCTTGTTTCATCGTAATTATCTTTACTAAATCGAATTGTGTGTTTACTCGTATTTTATTATTAATTATGGGATATACACGCATAAAATTCTTTTAAACCCATTTAAAATAAATAATTATACTGTGCTATACTGCTATGCACCTATATATGTGTGTACATAGATTACAATTACAACACTTACCACAATTGCCGGAATCGCAATCACTGTTCAGCGAGCTCGTACCATCGGACTCTGAACCAGAAGAGTACTCGTACAGGAAATAGTCTCTTGTGTACGGCGGTGCGTGATAATGGTGCGGTGTACCATGGTGGTTCATTTGATAATGATGGTGATGATGGTCCATCGTTGAATATGCCTAGTGAACGTGTGGACGGTAAATTAAAATTTTTATTTTAATATTTTATACAACTATGTGTGTGTACACAACTCGGTTAGGTGAGACTCAGGCAAACACAATCGGATGTCGGGACGCTGCTGCAAAGACTGCTGAACCAACTTAAACAACCTACCGAGGCGTGCCAGTTAAAGGACGGKTAGTCGGTGATWCCACGCCCATACACCGCCCCAATATACACCCTTCCTTCCACCCACGTATAAGTTTCGGATCATATATAACGTGTACAATAAAATATGTATAATAATATGCAGGCTGCGTTTATATGTACTTTAAGTACTTGCGTCACCCAAAAAAATATTGATAAGAAATTCCAATATTACGGCATTCGGCTAGTAACCGGYAACTAGATACACATACATTAATAAAGCTAGGAAGTTRTAAGAGTTGCCCATAAYTCTATATGTATAAAAATCCAAAATTTTAAATTTTAAAATGCATATTTTGCTTATTTCGTCAATTTTATGGGAAAAGTGTGTATTTCTAGATTTCCATACGTGCATATTGTGCTCAATGCACATATATTTAATGTTTTCTAAAAAAAAAAATGATCTTTATCTTAGACTGTGTATTTAAAATTTAAATAATAATATTGAATATAAAACTCAATATTATTTAATGTAGGCGGGTTCGGGACGTTCGGGTGGCAGTATTGTGCTAAACAGTTCCCACCCGTTCCCGGTATATAAAAGGAAAAAAAAGGCACGTATAGGTATTTATTACTGGGGTCACAGCAGATTATTAATTTAACGAATGTAGCAGTGATATTTGTGCAATTAATCTCCAATAAAATGATTAAACTGTAGATTAAATTGATAGAAAAAAAATAGTAACCTAACCATTGTTACCAATTCAGAATTTAGTATTTATGATAAAAAATAAAAAAATGTGCAAATAAGTTTATCAGACAAACATAAAGTTTATAAAAATTCCTTAAATCGAGAAGTATTTTTGGTTTTTGGAGTAGGTATAGGTTAGGTTAGGTTATATATTATAAGAACGGTGTCGAGCGAACKAGGACTATATAACACACATGGCTACTTTTTTTCGGAAAATTAAAGACCCAACATTATTTTTTAATAACTTCATCAATAGCCAATAGGCAATAATTTCCACAAAAAATTCAAACAGTTCCAAAATTAGTGTTGTAAAATACACCTTTCAAAAAATTTGAACGTGAAGGGTGTAGTAAAGTGCATTTGTTCCAAAATGTTTAATGATTTTATTATTAAACATGACACTTTCTACCATATTTTAAATATCTATCCTAGGAATTAATAATAATTATGATCTCCAGTCCATCTATATGAATTTATAGCTATATTCTAATATTATAAATAATCACGGTCTTCCTTATAGGTACGTGGCAACTATCACTCTAGTCTCTAGTGACATCATTGTAGTATTGAATTATACCTATACATAGACAGTTATTGCAATGAAAATATGCTGTATTAGGTATAAATATATATTTTTTAAGTATAATATATTATTAATTTATTGTTTGTGTATAAAATTCAAAATAATAAATAATATGCTCTGGTGAAAAGTTTCAAGTTTCCCACACAAACGCAGAGTTACACGAACAATCACTAAACATTTAACAAATCAATAATGAGCTATTATTTACATAATTTAAACATAATTTAGACATTTAGTGGTCCATTAAATTTTATTGAACCATTAAATGAATAAATTATTCATGAAACCTGGCATTCATATTTTACTACAACGAAATTATTGAAATCATTAGAGGAACATCTTTACTTTTCGTTTAAATATCCAATTTTGGAGAAATTTCAACTTCAAATGTCTCAAAAAAAAGTGCATTGAAGCAATTTTCTTTCTCCAGAAAATTGTGATAAATACACAATTTTATTTCTAAAAACAAATATTACTGAAAAACCATTACCTTTGTTCCTCATTTTAGAATCTTAAGTTTAACATCTCTGATTGAATGAAATGCATACATTTCTGCAAATTAAACGTAATTCAAAGTTATAGAATTCAAATATTTACTAACGTCATATTGTATAATTTAATAAATATTAACTATTATTCTTGACGTATATAAGTACACCATCAATTTAGTTTTAATTTAAATAAAAATATTAAATTTATACTTTTAAAATTTGAAAACTATACTTAACAAACAGATGCATTTGTATACCATCGAATTCTCTTTCTCTCTCCTCATCACTCTCTCTCTCTCTCTTTACCTTATGCTATATGACTATATACACTTGTGTGTTCATAAACAGGTGCTATCTTTCCCAGAGGGGGCAACAGCAGAAAACAAATCAATGATTCGCTTGCTGTTCTTAAGCGTCACGTGACGTCGTCGTATAAACTATTACACTGTTCGTAATATAAGTATTCAATGAATTTTGTTATATTTATATAATTATGTGTAAATTACGAAATTTCCAAGATAAAAATTTTTTTAAAATCATATTAAATCATATTATTTTGTTTTTAATGAGTATCTTTTAGCCTTAAAAGACTTATAATTATTTATATAACTTAATACCTATATATTCGTATAGGTAATGTACGAGTATACGTAGATAATGTATCGTAAATACAAAATAAGCTTAATTAGAAGTAAATTTACGAGTAAAACGATTTAAAAAACTATGTCCATACAGCTAGTRTACTTATAGTTATTTTCATTAACATAATTTTACTTCAATATTTTAATCATATWCCACTACGTCTGAATATGTCCCTTCTACAATATTTCTATTATAGCCTATATAGGTATGTACTTTTATGTATTTATAAATATATAAATAAGAGTTACTGTACATTGTTATTTTATTTAAACTGTATCACGTGCAACCAATTGGGGCACGTGCTAAGCCACGTGCCCCAGCGCGTGTTKCTAGTTGCTTTTTCAATATTCACACTTTTTCACCCATTAAATAACATGAACGACTCTTATGTCTACTAGATTTACTACAAAAATACTGTTAATTATTAATATATAAGGATGAAATGGTGTAGCCGTGACTGTAACTAGGCAGCTTGGGTATGGACTATGGAGGATCATATACTATTACTGCACTGAACTGAATGATTAATATAATATATTAATATATATTATTTACTATTTAGSTACATCATATATTTATTATTAATACATAAGATACCTATATTATAGTACACACCAGTGRCGTATCAAAAAAATTTTGAAGAGGGGGGGGGGTTAAAAAAATGTAACATTAAATTGTTTTAAATTTTGTGTGTTTTTATTAAAATCAATAATCATACATTTAATATTGAAACATTTTTGTGGGAGGAGGGGTTTACAACTCCCTATCCTCCCTGTATACGCAACTGGTATGTGCCTTAATATAATTTAAGTATATCATACACTTTATTATAATTTAAAATAACAATTAATCTCTTGGAATTATATATTGCCCTAATATCTTTATTTAATTATTACTGTTAGTTATAAAATTCCTAGAGCTAAATCATGATTTTAAATTATAACAAAGTGGTGCCCAATGTAAGGGACCTCAAAATGAAGAGTCTCGTGCTTAACAACACAATATACTTATTTTTGTATACGACATTATCAKATATTTTATAATGAAACAAAACTAAATGTTTAAAAACCATAAAAATATATCCGTTATTGATATAATGTATTGTACATACTTATACTTATATTTATTTTATTTAAAAAAACTGTATAGATATTAGACTGAAATACAACACGAAAAACAATTTGAGRTATTTTGTAATTGATAAACAAATAACTGTAGATACTATTGATATTTTCACCAAATATTTATTTTATATAGGTACATTAAATATACATCAAAATAATTTGACTATTTTTGAGCTATCGATTAATATTTAACATACTATACCTTATCAAATTTTTTATAAATAGCAATAAAAAAATTTTCTCAGGGTAAAAACTTGAAAATGTAATACAAAGTTCTTCGTATATTTTTATATTCTCATATTTTTTCTAATTCAAAAATATTAAAAATTCATAAAGACTATTTTTTTAAGCAGTTCAAAAAAGTTTGACAAATTTTACGGATTGCAAATTATTTTGTAGTTAAAAATATATAAAATGTTCAATTGTTATAGCTAAGAATTAGGAATTTAAAACAATAAGGATTCTAAGACGTAGATAAAATTATAATCAAACAATCCAATATGTATACATATACTTACACATTATATAGAAACCTTTTTTATATGACATTTAAAACAAATGTAAATTTGGACGAAATTAGATATTCAACCGAAGAATAACAAAGTTAGTTATTTCGTTGTAACTCATAAACATAGACATAGACAGACTACCATTTATTTATCTGTACTTAATAAGTACTTACTATACTTAATAGCATATTAAGGACGTGTCCAGGGTCAATTTTCGGAGATAGAGGGAGGGTTTAAAGTATTTTAAGTGCGTTTTCCGACAAGATTGAGATAATATATTATAAATATATAACTACTTTAAAAATTTCCGGGGGTGGAGGGGGGTGAACCCTTAAATCCCCCCYGTATACGGGCCTGTAGCATATATTATAATATAAGTAATTTTTCATTTAACTACCTATAGTACCTAATAACCTATAACCTGCCATAATAATAATTTAAAAATAAGTTATATGCTGTAGTTAATTATTTAGAATTATTTAATTAACCCTGTCTGATTTTTAAAGTTATTACCGTTCAATCGCTATCAAACTGAAGCATAGTGCCAGAGAACGTACTATTTAAAATTTTTAACTTTTAAATTTCCAAAATATAAATAACGTGTTTAATATTATTTATTCTGTGTATTTTATGTATCTATCAGTGCCGGATAAACCGCCGGTGCAAGCGGTGCATTGCACCCAGGGCCYCCGACTCTTTAAAAAATTGGTAGCCCCGATATTATGAATACCAAACTATCAAAGTACCATAAAATAAAATAGGTTTTTTTGATAACCATGCATGTTTTATTTTTTACAAATGGTATATTAGATTTTGGTTTGAAACTATTTTTAATTTATTCCATTGGTGGGTTAATTAATGTGAATATTTGATCGATTGTTAAGTATTTTTTTTCCACACTTATTAGCTATTATCGTGTATGCTGGTAGCTGGTACACCGATTGACAAATACGGCGAATAACTACGATGATAATATACTTGATAATGCAAAATCACTGTGTTTAAGATGGGGAATCCCCAATAAATTTGTAGAAAAAAGGGAATCGTATGTCAAAAAACATTTTTATGACAATTTAAATGGAGAAAGGAGACTTAACACAACTGAAGAAAACTTAAAAGTTAAAATATTTTTSCCTGTGCTGGATACAGTTTTGTCTCAACTAATTAGTCGGTTTCAAAGTATGCATGCATGATGATGTTATAGAGGATTTCAATTTTTTAAACTCTATTATTCTTTTAACACAAACCGATAAAATATTATGAAAGTATCATACGATTTTTGTTTAACATATTATAAAGACGATATAAATTCTGACTTCCCACGACAAATGTTATCTTTAAAATCGTTTATAAAATATGAAAAATTAAATACAATTAAACATTTTGGTAGTTTTTTTATAAATAACGATTTATCTAGTAGTTTTCCAGATGTTTTAAGTGCTTGCATAATTTTTCTGACAATACCAATTAATAGCTGTAGCAGGAGCAGAACGTTCTTTTTCGAAACTAAAACTAATAAAGAATTACTTAAGAAACTCATGCGGACAAGAACGTTTATCTGGTATAGCAATTTTAAATATAGAAAAAGAGCGAATCAAAACTCTAAATATTGAGAAGATTATTGATAATTTTGCCAACGCAAAATTAAAGAAAAAAAATTTCTTAAAATAGAATGTTTTTAAATTTACATTTGTTGTTTCACAAGAATTCATTCACCAATGGAAATAAATTTAAAATTGATTCTATAGATTTGATATACTATTTGTAAAAAAAAATATACACGTTTCATGTTTCTTAGGTATATAATATTATTATGTAATAATTAAAAATTATGTTAAATAAATAATTTATTATTTAAGATTACTTTTAAATATTATAATATTACCTATATCTATATGACGTTAAAGTGAGGTCATACATTTATAATGCAATTTAATTTGTAGTAGAAATATAAAGGTATAATATTGTATTGCAAATTGTTTTTCAAGGGGGCCCCCTAATTTGCATTTGCACCAGGGCCCCCAGAGTTCAGGATCCGGCACTGGTATCTATATTTACCATAGTTTAAAACAGCGGTTCCCAACCTTTTTACCAGGCGGTGCACTATTGTTTGTACACATTTTGTTAGGTGCCCTTCTGTGAATATCATGAGAAACGTAATAAAAATAAACACTAGTTTTCATTCATAATTGATTTAAATAATTTTATTAAACATATTATTAATAAATTATAATTTTATTGTTGAAATAAAAAAAAAAAAATTCTGTTTTAATAGTAAAAAACTAATAATCAATGGAGATATTTAAGGCTGCTTATTTTTGGAAAGTTTGGCATTGTTTTTATCTGTTTTTATCTATTCGACACATATTAGAAACACTATATATAATATTGGATATACAGATAGTATTCTAAGTAATTTTGTACGTAAAATAATTTTTTGTCTTTTCAACTATACAATACATTTTTAATATATAATTTAATAATTTTTTTCATTCTCGGATAAGCCGTGGTGCCCCTTTAATGAGCTCGCGGTGYCCTTAGGGCACCGCGGTGTACAGGTTGGGAACCGCTTGTTTTAAAGAATAAAATGTTGTATTACTATTTTTTGTAATGGATATTATATACATATATATCAACCAAAAAAGCCAGGGAAGTCAATCTGCTGCATAATAGATTTCGAGAGTGTCTCAAGCACTTAGGTGATTATGTAATGGATGTGATAAATTTAAATTCAATCATACATCATTTCTATTGTATACAAAATACAAATAAAAAATGTGAAACGATTCTGAGATGATACAAGCCTCTAT